GCAGCCGCACTCCTCCTCCTGCTGAGCCCCTGGAGCCTCCGCAGGCACCTTCTCCTCCCTCCCCACCTGCCACATCCTCACTCACAAAGCTCTCCCACCTGCCTTCACCCTGAATCCCTTCCCCTGCACACTCAGACGCTGCCTTCACCTCCCAGGAGGCATTTCCTGGGTTAGGGAAGGGTGGGCCATCCTCTCTCCTGACCCCTGATCTCCTTCCCCTAGGCACCTACGGAACAGTGTTCAAGGCCAAAAACCGGGAGACGCATGAGATCGTGGCTCTGAAACGGGTGAGGCTGGATGACGATGATGAGGTAGGACTGGGGACTGGGTTGGGGCTGGGGAGGGGGTTGAGGGCCTGGGCTGGGTGGGATCTGACTGTTGCCCACCCGGCCCCTTCACACATGCAGGGTGTGCCGAGTTCAGCCCTCCGGGAGATCTGCCTACTCAAGGAGCTGAAGCACAAGAACATCGTCAGGTGTGCGGGAGATGTGGCTGCTTGGGGGAGGTGGGGGCTGACCTGGGACATTTGTCAGGAAGACCTGCCTGGCTGAGCCCTTCTTTTGCCCTAGGCTTCATGATGTCCTGCACAGCGACAAGAAGCTGACTTTGGTTTTTGAATTCTGTGACCAGGTGAAAAGCAGGATTTGGGGGACAGTAGCTTTGGGAAGTTATAGGGACCCAGACTGAGGTTAAACTCTTGTCCCATTCCTCCACTCATCTCCTTTTTAGGACCTGAAGAAGTATTTTGACAGTTGCAATGGTGACCTCGATCCTGAGATTGTAAAGGTGAGGAGAGTGTTGGGGGACCCCTCAGGCTGGAGTCCAAGTCTGCCTTCAGTGTAAGCACTCCTTGAGCACCAAGTTTGGGTCCTGAACAGGCATGCTCTAGCGTGTCAGAGGATGAGAAAACCCTGTTTCTGCCCCGCAGGGGCCTCCTAGTCAGCATTTTCACGTGGTTGTCTTTGACCTGCACAGTGGCACTCAGACACTAGTCTGGCCACGTTACAGGGACATCATATGATGTTGACATCAGTAACATCAATGATGTTTACACCCGAGAGATGAGAAAATGAGGTTCAAGGAGATACACTCATTCATTCAACACATACTTACTGAATGCTTCACTGTGTGCCAGGTGCTCTTCTAGGCCCAAGATCAAATGCCTTGGTCCAGGTTCCAGGGGAGCCAGTCCTGAATGATACTACACCATGATATTGATGTGGATGGTCACGGTGTGCATACTCAGATGCGGCCAGGGAGGGAGGATCATGGGCTGGGATCCAGGCCAGATCTAGGATCCACCTGGCAAGGCCCATTAGGCTGTATGGTTCAGGAAGGTGGGGACCAGGGCCAGCTTGTTTACTGTTGTCCCTCAAATACCTAGCACAGTACAAAGCAGGTCCTGGATGGCAAATGAATGGTGTCACTCTGAGCCAGGTGCTGAAAGGTGGGTGGGGTGTAGCGAAGCACAGGGTGACGAGAGGAGCCGGCCAGTTGCTGGGCACGGTTATGTTCAGGGCATCTGACTCCCTGCTCCCTGCTCTTCCCTCAGTCATTCCTCTTCCAGCTGCTAAAAGGCCTGGGATTCTGTCATAGCCGCAATGTGCTGCACAGGGACCTGAAGCCCCAGAATCTGCTAATCAACAGGGTACTTTTGGGAAGAAGGTGGGGAAGGGGAGGCTAGGACCAGGGCCTGGGGGAAGAGGACTGGGAGGATGGAGCCTGTGCTGCCCCAAGGCTGCTCAAAGGCCCTTCGCCATGTTCCCTTTCCATTCTCCTCAGAATGGGGAGCTGAAATTGGCTGATTTCGGCCTGGCTCGAGCCTTTGGGATCCCTGTCCGCTGTTACTCAGCTGAGGTGAGCTGGGAGCTGGGATGTGGGGTTGGGGGAGGGAGCCCCTCAGCTCCTACCCCATGACCCAAAGCATTATTTTCCTCACCATTCTGAGCCTCCTCCTTGAACCTCCTCCCCAGCCCTCTAAGTGGGAGGTCCCTGTCGGGGGGGTCTCCTCCAGGTGGTTACACTGTGGTACCGCCCACCGGATGTCCTCTTTGGGGCCAAGCTGTACTCCACGTCCATCGACATGTGGTCAGCCGGCTGCATCTTTGCAGGTGACGTGCTGGGGCACTGCAGAGGCACCTTCTTTCCCATTTGGGTTGACAAATAGGATCCAGAGGGTCTCTGCTGGGGCAAGGGAGGGAGGCCCTGGGATGGGCTGGAAGGTCAGGGGGTCCCTCAGAGTGAGAGGTCCTTCACATGTCACATCTTAGCCCCTCCCTTTCCTCCAGAGTTGGCCAATGCTGGGCGGCCTCTCTTTCCCGGCAATGATGTTGATGACCAGTTGAAGAGGATCTTCCGATATCCTTCCATTTTCCTCTGCCTCAAGCCCTCTGGGAGGGGAGAGCCCATGGAGTTTTAGCGCAATGGGCCAGGGCAGTGATGATACGGGGTGGGATGATGGGGTCCATAGGGCTTCTCCTGAGGGCAAGGGAAGAGAGCAGGCCTGGACGCCCTGATGGTCACAGAGCAGATGCACGCTGGAGAAGGTGCCACTTGTAGGACGGGCAGCGTGCCCTGGGGGACGAAGTCAAGAGGATGTCCCTCCAGGCGAGAGATGGATGCCAGGGTGAAGGAGCCCAAGGGAGCAGGGACACGTTTTGTGGGAGTGGGGCAGGACTGGTTCATGAGGACTAGGCCATCAGCATGTGGGTTAGACTAGTTAGCGATTGTCATGGGAACCAGCTGGATGTGTGAGTGACATGCTGCGGCTGCTTCTGTCAAGCCCAAGCCGGAGGGTAAAGGGAGGGTGAGAGAAGAGGGTGGTGGGTATGAGGAATCCCTCCCAGGAGGGGAAGAAGCCCTCACGCTGTTCCTGAAGATACAGCCGTGGCCGTTTCCCCGAGTGATCCTTGACCCTGTGGACACGCTGCTGGGGACTCCCACCGAGGAGCAGTGGCCCTCCATGACCAAGCTGCCAGACTACAAGGTGTGATGGGGAGTCATGGGGGTCATGGTTCATCAGGGTCCCTCTTATTTCACATTCCTGGCAGCCTCCACCCCCCCCTGCCCCTGGTCTGACCGTCCCTGCCTCTCCACAGCCCTACCCGATGTACCCGGCCACAACATCCCTGGTGAACGTCGTGCCCAAGCTCAATGCCACAGGGAGGGACCTGCTGCAGGTAGGTGACCAGGGGTAGAGGGTGGGGCAGGACACTTGTCCAGAGGGACTACAGGAAGGCAAGGCTCTGGGCAGTGACCTGTCCTGAACCTGCCACTGCCTTTCCTCCATCTCCAGAACCTTCTGAAGTGTAACCCTGTCCAACGTATCTCAGCAGAAGAGGCCCTGCAGCACCCCTACTTCTCCGACTTCTGTCCGCCCTAGGCCCTGGGACCTCTGGCCGCCAGGCTGGGGCCTGGCCTATTTAAGCCCCCTCTGGGGAGGGGCAGGACGGTGGGGGTGCCCAGTGTACTGTGCTCCAGCTGTGCTGGGCCCAGCCGGGGTGGGGTGCCTGAGCCTGAGTTTCTCACTCCCTTTGTGGACTTTATTTAATTTCATAAATTGGCTCCTTTCCCACAGTCTGGCTGATGTGGTGGTCGAGTGGCTCTGCAGGGGCCATGGGCTGGCGGGGGTCTCTGCTCTGGTACTGCCGGCTCCAATCCTGCTTCCGGCTCAAAGGCAGCACTTTGCTCTGCTATCTAAGAGGCTGTGACCCTCACCCCTCACCCCTGGGGCAGGGCAGCACTGTCACTGCACACTCCTTCCTCCCTCCCTCTGTACAGGAGGACCTGACATGGTCCGTCTGGGCGAGGAGGCCAGTATCCAAGAGCAAGGACGGGCTCTCCACCAGGGTGGGGGGAGAAAAGCTGGGGCTCTCTCCCTGCGGTTTTCCATATCTCAGATGCACCTCCTAGGGTCTCTCTCATCATCCCCCATACCCACGCCTGCAGGCTGGCACAGGAGAGCCCCAAAGATATGGTATTATCAGGAACACCCCCTCTCACTCCCTGTTTGTCAGTTTCCCAAGGTTTGGGGTACAGTGAAAGAGAGGGAGATTGGGCCTATGGCTGGGGCCTGGTGTGTCCTTACTGGCAGGAGGGAAAGGGAGGGCTCCCCCCACCCCCACCCCAATGGTCTCAAGCCTGGGGCCTTTGGCTCTTGTGGGGAGGCTGGAGAGGCTGAACTGTTCCTCTGGAGTTAGGCCGTGTGCCACACTTGGTCCCAAATGTGGGAAAGGAGTCAGGATCTAAGGCAGGACACAGCTGTATTCTTGAACGTGGAATCCGTGTCCCCCTTCCCCCACCCCCCACCCTCTTCTCCCTGCCTCTTCTCGCTGGGCTCTGGGCAGCAAGTTCTTCCAGTTACACCTTTATCGCTGACTGTGATTCTACACCTCACACCTAAGCCTGGGCTTGGAGGGTAACTGTTCTCCTTCCTCTCTGCGATGTCAGTCTAGTAAACTCAGACTGAGGTGTAAATGACTGACAACCTCTTACTACCATTCTACCCTAGAGATTCATGGGGGTTCACGGGCCCAGCTCCACATTTCTGAAGCCATGTCCAGCTGGATGATGGCTGGCAGAAGACTTCTGATGCCTGAGTTGGGCTGACCTCAGCCTGTAAGAGGAACACCTGAGGCTGATGCATTGGGACTTTATTTGGGGTGAAGATGGAAAAGCTACGTGCAGGCTAGACATGTCCAGGATGCCAGGGTGGGGCTCCGAGGATGCAGACAGCGGGTCTAGAGCTGAGTGACAAGGTAGCAGGTGCGGTGGGACGCTGAGAGAGTCTTGGTGACGGCACAGGGAGGGGTGGGAGGTCTTCGGGGACAGAGCATAGTGCTGGGGTGGAAACCGGCATAGCCACTGCCCTGGGCCTGCCCCTGCCCTCCTTGGCTGCCCTTCCTCCCTTGATCTTAGGGGGCCATTACGTGTTACCTGGGGCCCAGGCTGAGTTGGGGAACTTGGGTTCGATGGCTGCCCAGCCCTTCCTGAAGCTGTGGGAGGAGGAGAGGGTCAGAGGTGGGAAAAGGTCCTCCTCCCAGGGACCAGTCAAGATTGCTGCACACCCTCCTGCCTCTGTTTTTCCTCAGCTGGGGTGGGATGGTGGTCTTAGGCTTCAGGGGTGGGGCCTAGCACCCTTGGAGTTGGCAGGGGCTCCAGAAGAGGGGCTGTTACCAGATTGGTGCTGGAGTGCCTTTGGGAGGGCCTTCGGTTCCAGAAATATCCCAGGACCTTGTCTTGGAACACCTGAAGGCAAGCAGGATGGGAGGCGGCCGGTGCATGCCTTACCCTGATCCTAGGGGCCCCGATTCCCACCTCCCGCCTCCCGCAGTGGGAGCCCTGGCCCACCTCACAGAGGTAGTCTAGGATCTCGAGGATGGTGAGCAGGCTGGCCCCGATGAACAGCCCCATCTGGCCCCCAATGTCTCCTGTGGAGACAGGGTCACCCTTCAACTCACAGCCACCTGCCTGCCCACACCTCCCCAGCCCTGGAGGCCTTGCACACATACCTAGCAGCTCCGACATCTCATAGGCCTTCTTCTGCTCCACAGTCTCATAGTTGAGGGCCTCAAAGAAGACCTCCAGGGCCAGCACGTTCTCCCTGAGGACAAGAAAGGCCTCAGATGTGTGCTGGCCACTGCCTGGTGCCCACTGCTGGCAAGAAGCAGCTGTAGGTTCTCCCACTCCTTTCAAGAACCCTGGGAGGGGCCGGGCATGGTGGTGGCTCACACCTGTAGTCCCAGAACTTTGGGAGGATGAGGAGGGAGGATCTTGAGGCTAGGGGTTTGAAACAGCCTGTGGCCTGGGCAACATAGTGAGACCCGCTCCCTGCACTCCCCTCCCCCTCCGCAACCCCCCACCCCCTCCGCAACCCCCCACCTCCGCCGTCTCTGTTTTTTAAAAGTAAAGATTTTTAAAAAGGAAAAAAACACTCCTGGGAGGGGGCGTCAGTATCCCCCGGGGGCAGAAAGGTTAAGCAACCAGCACGAGCCCCAGAGCCAGTGAGGCTGCAGAGGCTGCCTCCGCCCAGGCTACACGCACGAGGGCTCCAGCCCGCCCCGCTCCGCTCCACCCCACCCCATCGGGAGGTCCCGGCTTGGAGGCACCCGCCAGCCCCGCGCGGCTCACGCGATGTAGGCCTCGCTGCGGTTGAGTTTCCGGGACAGGAAGCGCGCGGCAGAGCGGCTCGGCATCCGCACCATGGAGAGCTCCTTGGCGTAGCGGGTGCTGGCGCACGGGTTGGGACAGGCGCAACCGTCCTTGTGAAGCATGGCATCTGCGGGCCACCGGGGCGCGTCAGCCACTTGCCCGGCGGGTTAGGGGCCCGGGCCGAGCAGGGCGGATGGGAGGTGGGGGAGGCTTGCCGTTACCTATGGCAGGGTGGGCACAGTCCTTGTACTGCTGGGGGCTGCACACTGGCGCGCCGCCTGCGGGTGCCGGGGAGACGGCTTGAGGAGCAGCCTCAGCTGCTTGGGCCCAGATCGCTACGGGACGTGGATCCCAAATCCTCACCTGGCATGTACATCATTCGGCAGCCACACTTCCGAGCCACGTAGCGGGTCTCGCAGACCAGGCGACACCCCATTAGGCTATAGGGAGGGCTGGAGCTGGGGGAACCCAGGGGATCAGAGGGCTCTGGCTCATAGTTGGGGTTCAGAGATACTGAACTGCAGTCGCCCCAGGGCGGTGGCAGGAAGCTCAGCTGTGGGGGGACAGGGTTAAGAAGGCTTTCCGCGAGAATGTGAGAGGTCATCTGGGAAGAGGCCCATGGACAGGTCTGAGGAGCTGAGGGTTTAGGGTTCGAGTTGGTGTGGGCTTGAAGGAGGGGGTGTGGAGGCACACGGGAGGGTACCTGCTGCTGCTGGCAAGAGATAAAGGTCTGGAAACCTGGGGACACCCCCAAGCCCAGCTGGTCGATGATGGGCGGCTCCTCCTGGCTGTGGATCTGCACTTTGATCCCCACCTCAAAAGGGGTCTCGTCTGTTGGGGAGGGGCCTGTGAGGCCTGAGACCCTGTGGTCAGGTCTCCTCCCCAACCAGATCAGACCTCTCACTGCAGACCCCTCTCTCCAGGACTGGGATGAGCCAGCCCAGCCCCTTTCACAGGTCCTGGGGAACACCCTGGCACCTCCTCTCCTTCCCCTAGCCTTTTGCACCCAATCCATGCCCTCCCCCAGCCTTGTTCGTGTGCTCCCTACCATCGTCTTTCCACACGGGTAGATACTCCTCCTGCTGCACGTCCAGCATGAGGTCCAGCCCATTGCCTATGCCACCTCTAATAGTGGTGAGGAGCTCTGCCCCATCAGTGCCAGAGTTAAACGTGTAGCACTTTCCCATCCGGGTGAAGACCTGGGGTGGGCAGACAGGGTGACCACTGTCTCCCCCAGGCAAGCACATGGTCATGGGACCTTGCCCTGCCTCATGCTCTGTTTGTGCCTCTTCTTTGAACACTGAAGCCCGCATCTCAATGCCCCCAGCCCCACACTCCACGTGGGCACATGTTGCAAGTCCATCACCCCAGCTCCTCTGCCTGCCATCCCCCACCAAAGCCCAGGGCACAGCCTGCAGGTTTTGCCGTGTTTCTCTGGGGACTCGGGGAAAAGGAAATGGGCCACTGTGGCTCTCCTCCGGGGTTGGCAGTATGTTGAAAATTTGGAGGGAAAGCAAGCCCTGTCCTCCTGGCAGAGGCAGAGGTCTTCTGCCCTAGAATGGTCCCACAAGGGAGGATCCCCAGCCCCAGGAGCAGGGTCTCCACAGGCCAGACCTCAGGCTAGAGCCAGCCGGGGTCAGTGTGGTCTCACATGCTGCCCTCGGGTTGGGAGACAGAGAAAGCCCCAAGAAGCACAGCTTCCTGGGCTGCACAGAGTGGCACTGGGGGCTGTGGAGTCCATGGCTGGTAGGAAGGAACAGATCCCCTGGCTTTGGGGGAGCCTATGCTGGCTAGGGGATTATGGGTGCTGGGTAGGGACTGGCTGGCCCTCAGGATCCCTGGCAGGATAGGTAGGGAGGTCAGCTCACCATGGTGAAGTTTTCAGGCCCACAAGGTTCGCCACGGAAGCGACAGTCCAGCAGCATGTCGTCCAGGGAGTGCCCAGCACGGTCATAGAGTTGTGCCATGTCGAAGGTGGGACTGGGCATGAAGCCGGGTGGGGCAGGGGGCCGGCCCAGGGCATGCAGGAAGGTGGCGTGCTCTGCGGGGTCCAGGCCCAGCAGCGCGGCCCCGGCCCAGTGGAGGTCATTGGGCGTGAGGCGCGAGCGGCGCAGTGGATTGATGTTGCACAAGGTGACAGCTGGGAAGATAAGCTGGTGGCTTTCTCGCTCGTCCAGGGCAGTCTGGTGGTGGTACTCCCTGTAGTAGCGCACCCTCCCAGCCACCTGGTAGAGGAAGGTGACCACTGACAGGACCACGGCCGCTGCCCACATCCCCCGGCGCAGGCTCAGGCTGCCTGGCCCGAAGACGTGGCCCACCCCATGCATCGAGCAGTTGCTGGCGAACACGCGGATGTCCGAGGCCGGCCGCCGGGCCTCCTCCGGGCCTGAGGTGGGCTTCATGGCCAAAACTCAGGAGGAGGACTAGCTAGAGAGGCTTGGACGGAGTGAGAGAGGGTCAGTCAGGGGGCTGAGAAGGCTGAGATAGGATTCAGGGGGCCAGGCGAGGAGAGGGTGGGAGAGAGCCAAGGCTGGGAGGCAGGGAGGCACTAGCCTGGCAGTGTTGGAGGAGATGATCTGGCCCGTCGGTCCCGCTCAGCCTTCCCGAGGAACACGCAGTGGGTCCACTGGGCTAGGCACTGGGCTGGGGACTCGGCAGCAGACCAGGTGGGATGCAGCTGACCGTGGCAGGCAGGGGCTGCGGAGGGAGCCGTGCTGAGGCGGTGCTGAGCCGGCGCTGCCGCAGAGGATTGGGTTTCAGCAGTGAGGGGGGAAAGGGGGCCGGCAGAGCAGTCTGGTGGGTAGGGGAGGTCCCTGGGGCCCCAGGCTGAGCCATTAGTACAGCCTGGAGGGGGGCATGGCTGTCCAAGATGAGAGGCGCCAGGAGGAAACCGCAGTGATCCTGGGGAGAGCGTGAGGAAAGCCCAGAGGTAAACTGGGCCTGGAGGTGCCTTGCGGCCCCCTAGGTTCCCAGCTGCAGCCCCTGTATACCAGCCCTGAGGGTCATTTGCTGACCCCTGCCTAGCTCCTCTCTTCTTTCACCTCTCCGGCCTTCCCTCTAGCTTCACCTACGATTATCTGTTCCTTCACAAAGACCAGAGCTGGCTCTTGATTAAGCTGGGAAGTGGTTGGAACATTGGCATCGGCAGATCTCTTCTATGCCCCCAGCATCTCAGCCTACACTGGATGCCCAGGGCCCTCTTCAGGTCCCACTTCCAGGGTCCGTCTGTCTCCTAAGTGTCCCTCTCCCCCTAGGAAGTCAGAGCCTACCTCCCCACACTCAGGCCCTCCCATTGAGGATGTTGGCCTCTACCACAATGGTTATGGGCCCACCTGCCACCCCAGGTAGAAAGAACATGGCGCCCCACCTGCCACCCTCCAGGGTACCACACGAGTACTCCACCTGTCATCCTCCCGGGTACATGAGTGCCCCATCTGCCATCTCAGACACAACATGGGTTACCTGTGATTTCCCATCTTACAATGCTATATCCAGGACCTGGAAAAGCTTCATTTTTCCAAGTGGCTGCGTACCACCTGTTATGTGCATATACCATCATTCATTCAATGACTCCCCCACTGAGGAGCACTGGGGGTTTCCAGTTTTCCCATTACAAACAATGTTGCCATATCAACACAGAGGTGAACTCCCAGGAGGGCTGCTGGGCCAAAAGACCATTGGGTTGGTCATCTGATAGATGACAGTTTCCCCCACAGGAGTCATGCCATTTTGCACTCCCACGAGTAATGTGGGAGCAGGTCTGCTTCGCATGGGGCTTTTCTGGAGCTGTCAAGCCCTGAGCTTGCATGGTGGGAGACAGTGAGCCTGGAGAGGGCAGGGCCGGCGCATCTGACCTAAGATGCTTCCAGTGATCCAGGGGAGAAGGTGATGGGTTGGAGGCGGGGCAGGCTCCCAGAGGCTGGGGAGGGACCTCCAGAAGGCAGTTACTTTTGTGAGGTAGTGCCAGCTGACCTGCAGTGGGATGAGGACGTTGTGCGGATCCATGGCCCTGGGGATGAGGTGCAGTTCTGGGAGGAAGCCCTGACCTGCAGAGAGCCAGGCAGTCCTCATCGGTGTCACACTGCATTTGGCTAAATGGTTGTCTGCCCCCATGTATCTGAGAGTTAGAGGACATTCCCTGTAGGCCTTTGGGAAAGCTGGCTCACTAATTTATTACTGAAATTTATTTCTCTTCTATCTTTGCCCAAAAAAGTACCTGAGGCCGCCAGGCTGACTTTGGTGGGCTTTTTTGACCATAAGTAGTAGAAACATGGTTCTACCAATCAAATGTGTGCACACACCATGCTGCGGCTGCTGGGCCACCTGTCTGTCCTGCCAACAGGACACAAGCTTCACGGGGGCAGGGGCTGTCCTCATTCCCCATAGTGGGCTCAGTGGCACATGGCAGGTGTTTCATTAATAAACACTCTGGAAGGACTGAGTACCATGGTTACAGCACAGCACTGCACTGTGCTTTGCAAGTATTTTACTGTAGATTATCCCACATACACTCTCAAAACAGGCATTCCCCATCAAGCACTGCTAGGCTCCGGCTCTCCACTGTGGAGCCAAGGCTGAGGCGAGGTTAGGCAGATGGCATGGCTCTTGCAATCTAGCTCTTCCAGCTGGACTAGCTGTGGGGTTTAACTGCTCCTTTAGTGGGCTAGTGGAGGGCTGGATTTGAAGAAGCTGCCCAGATGTAAGGAGAGCCTCAGAATCTGGTGTCAGAGGCGTCTTGGGCAACCTGAGGCTGGTGACTGAGGGGGTGAAGCAGGCCTTGGCTGGCTGGCTGCCTGGTATGGGAGGGGTCAGGCCAACAAGCAGGGCCCCCAGGCAGGGCTCACGGACTTGCCAGGAAGCTGAGGCCTGCTCTGGGCTGCCCTAGGGAGGGGTTTAGCTGCGAAGCAGCCGGGAGCCAGCCCCAGGCTCTGCTTCTGGGCCTCCAGCCTCTGATCTGTCAGGAAGTGGGATATCAAATCAGGGTGGATGTGGGCCTGGGGTTTTTGGATGGCTTGTCCCCACAGTAGCACCTAGTTCTAAACCATACACCCACAAGAGCCTGTGGGTCCCACTCTGGCTCCTGCACACAAACTTGAGCCACTTGCTGCCTCTTCCAGGCTGGCCTCCCCAGCACCGGCTGTTCCATCAGCAAACTGCCACCACCCCTGAAAGAGGGCACTGACTGCCTTTCTTTGCACAGATAAATCCAGAATGCCTGGCTGACTGTGAAGGTACAGGGCAGGCACCCCCTCTTCCCCTGCTCAGGGGAGCAGGGCCCCGTATAGTCCCACAGCCTTGATGTGGCTGGAGGGGAAAAGGATCCCAGCAGGAAGTGACGGCAGCGAGGAGGTGGGGAGGGCCAGTGCATCCGCAGCAGGGCAGGGGCATGAGGTCCTGGGGCACCAGTTCAGCTAAGGCCCTACCTGTGTGCTTTTCCAGGCCTCTCTGAAGCCAGGTAGAGCCTAGCCCTCATCCACAGTCTCAGGGCCACAGGCGCCTGTCACTCAGGCTGTCTGCCTTCCCCTTTTAAGGTGTGCCTCCCAGACCTTGCTGTGGAGACTGGCCTGTCCACAGCCGTACTCTCCTGGACCAGTTCTGTACTGGATTCTGCAATAGCTGCTCCATTGAGCTCTGTACTCATCAGCACTGTGGGCAGGAAGCCGAGAGCTCCAGGTGGGCAGCAGCCTATCCTATCTCCTTCAGAGCTGGGTGTCCTTGGTGTAGAAGGAGGCGGGTCCACCATCTCAGTGGGTCAAAGACTCCAGTCACACAGGGCAGGGCCAGCGGAAGACAGCCAGGCAGGCTGGTGCTTACTCCCTCCTATCCTGACCCAAGAGTTGGGCCCGGTTAGGCCTGTGTCCCTCAGGGGTAGGAAGGGGAGGCGAAATCTAGACATCAGGACTATATTCCCCGTTCAGGGAGAAGGGAGGGAGGTTGTTTGGAAGATGGGGACTGTGGGTTCTGGGGTGAGCCAGGGGATAGGCTCCTTTTCCCAGGGTCCAGTGAGGCAGTCAGTCTAGGGAAGTGAGGTCCTGGCAAGGGTGTGGGAAGAGCCTAGGTTTGAATTCCCAGCCCATGTCGGACCCTGTTTTTTAAAAACTCCCTGGCGCTGCAGGCCTGGCCAACTTGAGGCTGTTGGGTCGGGTGGGGAGACTGGGCAGGGCGTCTCTGAGAGGTCTGGAGGGGTCTGGGCAAAGGGAGAGAAGAGTGGAGGTGCCTTGCGGAACTCTGCCTCTGCCCACGTGCAGCCCAGTGACTCTGGTGGACTCTGGTGGGAGGGAGGCAGCCGGCAGGACTTGGGATGGAAGTGAGGGTTGGGCCTCCCCTGCCAGCCGCTCGGCCCGCCCCGGCTTTATTGTAAGCAGGAGCGGCCACAGTGACTCTCCACATGCTGGCCCTCCTGGGGGCTCAGTCCCTAGTACGTTCCCCCCAGACTGAGCCCCAGCTGTAGCACCGACGCTTGGCAGCAACCACACCTCTGGGGGCTCTTCTCAGGACTTGCGCTGGGAGCTTCCGGGGTCTTCTGGCTTCCTGGGTGGTGGGGCCGCCATCTTTGGGGTGTCCAGGGCCTGCCTCCGGATAAGCTCAGCGTACAGCCCGCCCTTCTTCAGGAGCTCTTCATGGGTCCCAGCCTGGAAGACAGGAGGGAGGGGCAGATGGTTGATTCAATGTGTGCAGACTTCAGAACCCTGGAAGGGCTGAACCTCTCAGCCATTGGGCCCATGGTCACTAAGACAGTGCCCCTTCTGGGGACAGTCTCAAACCAATGCCCTATCTGAAAGGAGCCACCATGGGCATGCTGCATTGGTTAGGACCACTTCCCTACTTAGCTGAACACGATTGGAAGAACACGATTCCTGGCTGGGCGCTGTGGCTCACACCTGTATCACAGCTCTTAGGGAGGCAGAGGCAGGAGGACAGCTTGAGCCCAGGAGTTCCAGACCTGCCTGGACAATATAGCGAGACCCCACTCTCCACAAAAAACAAACAAACAAACAAACAAAAAACCATGATTCCCTCTGTCCCCCTTACAGAGCCCAAGGCTCTCACTCAGGACCCGAGTCCCTGCACAAGCCCCTCAGCCTTGGCTTGAACGAATGGCTGTGAGCCAATGCCACACAACCTCAGGGGTCCCGCTCCTGCCTTCCCACACAGGGTCCTGGTGCTGCTTCTCCTGCACCTCAGACCCTGGGCAGCCAGCCCTGCTCCTTGCTCCCATTACCACACTCTTTCTGAGTATGTTTCCCTTTTTTTTTTTTTGAGACAGGGTCTCATTCTGATGCCAGGCAGGAGTGCAGTGGCACTATCATCGTTCACTGCAGCCTCAGCCTCTGGGGCTCAAGTAATCCTCCTGCCTCAGCCTCCAGAGTAGCTAAAAATATAGGTGCATAAGACCACAAAGACTATTTTTTCCTTTTGGTATTTTGTAGAGACAGGGTCCTACTACGCTGCCCAGGCTGGCCTTGAGAGATCCTTCTGCCTCAGCCTCTCAAAGTGCTGGGATTACAGGCACCTGGCCAATACTTTTCCTTTTGATCCTGGGAGCTGATGATGCACTTATGCTATCCCAGAGGACAGAGGAAGAAACTGAGGGCCTGAAGGCCAGGGCTTGGCTGATGCAGGAACTCCTGACTCCACATGGGATGCTGCTTCCAGAGCAGCCCCCAAGGCCCTAGGGCAGGCCACCCTTCATATAACTCATGGCAGCATCGTGCCACTGTCCGTGATGAAGTTATCCTTGACCCACTGATCCACACCACTTGGCCGACTAACCTCCCAGACGCAGCCATCGGCCATGACGATGATGCGGTGGGCCCCACGGACGGTGCTGAGCCGGTGAGCTATGACCAGCACCGTGCGGCCTGCACTGGCCCGGTCCAGGGCCTCCTGCACAACCCGCTCAGACTCCGCATCCAGTGCGCTGGTGGCTTCGTCCAGTATCAGTACCGTGGGCTGCTTGATGAGGGCTCGGGCGATGGCCAGGCGCTGCTTCTGGCCCCCAGACAGGGTAGTGCCCCTCTCACCTGGGAAGGGATGGGCAGGGCAGGTGCCTGAAGCTGTGCACTTGAGGGTGGCCAACAAAGGGGCACCGGTTCCTTCCTGAACTCCCATTAAGATCCTTGGAGTGCCCTTCATAGCACCATGCACGTTCCTCCTGCCTCCGACCCCCACCCCAAACTGTACAACCTCCTCCCACCTCTGACCTCCCCCACCCCACACTGTGCACCCTCCTCCTGCCTCTCACCCCACCCTGAGCTGTGCCTGCAGCTCCCGCCACCTTCCCAGCCTCCTGGGTCTCTGCGGCTGTGGGGAACATCTAGCACCCAAACATAGGCTCTGGGGTCCAGTGACTCCAGGGAGGTGGGATTCAAAGCCCACAGAGGACAGCACGAGTGGCAGCCTGGAAGCCAAAAAGGATCTCAAGGTGACAGCAAGTGACAGGTAGGTAAGGGCGTAGCCCCAAGAAGGCCCACATGAGCAGGAAGTACTAAGATCAGAGAGACAAGGAAAGAGCCACCCAAGAGAGATGTGGGAGAGCACCCAGTGAGGACAGCTGGTATCTGGATGGTGGATGAACACGGCTGGGGGAACAATCGAGACCACGAGGCTGGGCTGGGGACAGTGACCCCACAGCTCAGAACACTGGACCCAGTCGGACTGACCAGAGTTGAGAAGCCCCGGTATCTCTGCATCCTGAGAAGTGCTTAAACACTGCAACAGAGCCAAGACCCTGGCCAAGACACAGGCCCCAAAGGTTGGAAAGAGAAGACCTGGGAGCTCTGCATGTCAACTGCTGCCCTGCAGTGCTAGGCTGCGTGCCTAGTTCAGCCCTGCGGTGCCAGCTACGTGCCCCTAGTTCAGCCCTCAGTGCCAGCTGCGCGCCCCTAGTTCAGCCCCGCCGTGCCAGCTGCGCGCCCCTAGTTCAGCCCCGCCGTGCCAGCTGCGCGCCCCTAGGTCAGCCCCGCCGTGCCAGCTGCGCGCCCCTAGCTCAGCCCCGCCGTGCCAGCTGCGCGCCCCTAGCTCAGCCCCGCTGTGCCAGCTGCGCGCCCCAGTTCAGCCCTCAGTGCCAGCTGTGCGACCCTAGTTCAGCCCTGCCGTGCCAGCTGCGCGCCCCAGGTCAGCCCTGCCGTGCCAGCTGCGCGCCCCTAGTTCAGCCCTGCCGTGCCAGCTGCGCGCCCCTAG